ATCTTGGTCAAGTTTCATTAAAGATCTTACAAAGTATCAGTAATCATAATAAAAAATAAACAAAAAAATGTTTCTGAAGGCCCATAGCTTCTTAAGGAGCAATTTGGTACTCATTTGTACTGATTGTGAGATGTTTGTCTGAGGAAGCTTTTGTAAAATTTTTGCTAACAAATTATAAATCATCCTGTATAGATCAATAACAGAAATAAAGTACCAAATGAGAAATCCAATCGCAGGATTGTGGGATCCCAAAATCTCGGGATTTCAATTTCCAATTTATTGGTTTTAAATTTTGAGATTAATCCCGCAAATTTTGAAACCAAATTATTGGGTGTCCTAAAATTCAGCAAGATTTGAAATATGCACCATTTGTGCGATAAAGTGTTGCCAACGAAAAAAAAAGATAATGTGAGCTGTTCAGGGTTATTAAAAATGGAGCATTACACGAAAGAACAATGTTGTTGAGCAATATTTGAAATATAATGATAATTTGGCAGCTGCAGTTCACAATTTTCGTACAAAATATGGTCAGAATAGTAATTTAGCTTCATCAACTGTGAAGAGATTAATTGAAAAATTCAGAGAGGTGATCTTAAACATTCTGGCCGTCCTTCAACAAGTCATTCAACACAAAACATCAAAGCAGTTCGTGAGAGTGTTGCTGAGAGTTCAGGAACATCAATTCAACACCTTGGTCAAGAATTGGACATTTCGAGAAACCCTCTACACCACATTGCCTTAAGAACTGAAGCTTACTGACCACGTAGAGTAAAGAGAGTTCGTTGAATGGATAATGGATAAGTGGATGCTGATTGTGGCTTCGTTAATCGACAAAATTGGCTCATTTGGGGATCAGAAAATCCATGAAAGATTGTTAAGAAACAAATGCATCCATAACGTGTCACTGTTTGGTGTGTTTGGGCTAGAGGCATCATGGGACTATTCTTCTTCGAAAATATGGCAGATCAGGCAATAACAGTTAATGGTGCTCGTTAAAGCAACTTGATAATTCAGTTTTTTGTGTCTAAATTGCAAGATATGTATATAGACAATAGGTGGTTTCAACAAGATGGTGCCACATTCTACCATACAGTACGAGAAATAATTCAATTACTGCAGTCATTTCCTGGTTCTGTAATTTCCCGTTTTGGTGATTACCATTGGCCACCCAGATCATGCAATTTAACGCTGTCGGACATTTTTTCTTTAGGGTTTTTTGAAGTCTAAGGACTACGTCAAGATGCCCACGACCACTCACACCTTAAAGTGGTATTGAGTGCTGAATTAATGAAACTCAGCCATATTTATGCAAAACGGTAATGGAAAATTTCGACAAAGTAATGTGTATATGCCAGCAAAGCCATGAAGACCATTTACTCAATATTCCGTACATAACCCTGTACTATATACTTTATAAATCAATAAAAAATTTACCATTTTTAATTAAAAACCTGTGTTTTCTATCAAAATTACTTGCGTGAATTTTGAGACACCCTATATATATGCATATACCGAAATTTTTCTCCAACAGGATCAAAGCGATTAAAATCTGGTTATATTTAACCCACAGTGACAATTGAAGAACATATTTGTGATATTCTTTGGTCCAATAAAGAACCTCGATTTCGACTTATACAGGGTGTTTGATAAGTTGATGCATTCCTTGCAAGAGGTTATAGTACAAATGATTTGTGATATATTTCCTTAATATACCATATTCCGAAAACACTTAGTTTCTGATCTACAGGGTGTTAAAGTTTTAATAAAAAAAAATGCAAATTTATAAATATTTCAGAAACCGCTCAGAATATTTTAATGGAATTTTACAGGCTTTGACAGTTAACAATAATACACGTTTTACGATAAAAACATTGTTTTCAGTTTCACCAGTGGTGTGTGCACAGGCACGTCTTTGGATATTTTTAAAGAAAAAAATGATACGGCACTGATTTTTCTTAAAATGAAAATTATTTTTAAATTCCTTGTTCAATTTGGAATAGAAAAGGTATCTCGACTGTTTTTCTTATGACGCCCGTTTTCGAGAAAAAAATTTAAATCGTTTTATTGCATGGTGTAGTCCAGTTTCAATAATTTGAAAAATAGCAGAAATCAGCTCAGCTTTTTTGTACCAATTTTATTACAACACCCAGATCTAACCCCAGATCTAAGATACGTACGATTGAGAAAATAATACAGTGCATTACCGATGCCATTATTATACTTAGGCAGACATTTTTGACCAGGGTAACCCGGAAAGAAATAAGAAGGCGGGCACGTGCGTGCATTAGAAGAAGGGGACTTCATTTTAAGCAAGATCTTAAGTAATTAGTGGCGGCGTGTGAACATTGAATGTGTTCTGATTGTGTGCTACATTTGTTGAATTGAATTCCGGGATATTAGGTGCCCGGAGAGTCTCTAAATGGCGCCGAAGCCGAAAAATTTTAAAAGTTTCAAGGTCACGCGTTTTCCTGGCACTTCTGAATTTCAAGGAACAATCCATTTATACAAAAATACAGATTTTCACAAAAACGATTTTTTAAATAGATACCTTTTTCAAATATCTATTCATGAATTACCTACTGACTGTATAAATAAATTGGAATAAACTAAATATATTTTATTAAATTATTGAATATTGTTTATAAACAAACAAATCGCTTGTGAAATTTACCAACGATTCAACGAATTTTAATTGTCCTCGCCGTGTTATGATTTTTTCTTTATCTTTTTTTATATATATGTACATATATTATATTCCGGGAGTTATATATGCAAATCCGAAATCCAGGACCATACAGCTAATTCCCAGTACAATCACAGAAAATCCCGGTCATACCCACGAAACACATCAGGGTTGTCCGAATTTTCTGTCTCGTCGTGTCCGCAAAGTGCTAATTCGAGAGTTCTGCAAAATTTTATGCAATCTATGATTTTAGATAATACATAACGATTTTTCGTTACATGTTCATTGTGTTTCCGTATATTATACCAATATGCAGAATCTAACTGACTTCTTATGTTTATTTTACCTAATGACTTAAATTACTTAAATCTTTCACACTGTATATCCATGCTTTATCCTCACCGAAAAGTAAGCACAGAAAACAAAACAGTGTATTTTTTAAATCACACCCGCACACCCATTCTGCTTTTGTGTATACATTATTGTTAAATTGTCTTTTATAACTTTTACTTCGGCTTGTTCCACTAACTTCAATATTTAATTGTGGTGTTGGCCCACCTAATTCTTTTATTTTTAGTTTATCCTCATAAGGCAGAGAACCAAATAAAACACTATTTTTCAAAACGGTGACCACGATATTTCAGAAACTACTGCACTGATCTTGTTCAAATTCAAACATCTTTAATATGTTATAAGCTAGCGATTGAACTAGGATTATCATGATTGCTTCGGTAGTTTTTTTTCTACGAGCGAGAAACTTAAGAAAAAATGAGTAAAAAATAGAATTTAATTTTCAAAAGTGTATAAAAAAAATAATTTTTGTAATTTAGAATTCATTCTAGTTCAATCGCTAGTCTTAAATATGAAGATTAAAATGCCGTTTGGTTTTTTGATTTCAGATAAGCAAAACAGCCGCAATCTTGGTCACCGTCAAGCACCTCCTTCACTTGATGTCTTCGTGTCGGCCACTATAACTTTGATTCTATTATATATTTTGTCTTCAAAAAAATTTGTAAAGCTCATTTAAATGTTAATAAAGAGTATGCAAAAACAATGAGATTTATTATTTCGATGGTTTGCCCGTAAAAAATTTTTGAAAAAGCCGTAAAAAAACAATCGAGAAACTAGAGGACCCCCTTAAATACATAAAATTTTATGTGTTCTGCAGCTCCGCAGCTCTTATGGTAAAACCCCCACTGTAAGTAATTATTAATTAGAATAAGGTAATGACATAATAATTATATTAGTAATTTTTTCATTTCCTAACGAGCTTTGTACTTATTTAATACTAAAGATTAGTTAAACGAATTTTAAATTACAGATAACATAATCTAATCTTTAATTAAATGAAGAAGCTTTTAGACTGATCAGTGGCGTATCATTTTTTTCTTTAAAAACATCCAAAGACGTGCCTGTGCGCACGCCACTGGTGAAACTGAAAACAATATTTTTATCGTAAAACATGTATTGTTGTTAAATATCAAAGCCTGTAAAAATTCATAAAAATATTCTGAGCGGTTTCTACAATATTTATAAATTTGAATTTTTAATTAAAACTTTAACACCCTGCAAATGGGAAACTAAGCGTTTTCAGAATATGGTATATTAAGGAAATATATCACAAATCACTTGTACTATAAGCTCCTGCAAGGAATGCATCGACTTACCAGAGTTAGTATTACCATTCTTTATTTTCATTTCAAGACAGGACTTAATCCCGAGAAACCATGATAATTATAGTAATTTTCAAGCAATAAATTAAATAGTAAAATGTAAGCTTTGGTGTACCATATCTACATGATAATTAAAAAATAAAGATAAACTTTTAATGTTCACCTGAATTCTTAACCCCTGTATATGCTACGTTAGTGTACATTTACCACTACACATTACCAATACAAAATCATATGATTAGAAAAAGAAAATCATCAAAATCAGATAAGCTTTCACAAGAAAATCAGGTTTGAAGTTGGGGCTCATGCTTAATGGCACTTTAATTCAGAAATAGGACATACTTCAATAAGAATAATGAATAATGTAGACAAAAATCCGTAACTTAAACGTGATTCAAAGGTACTGGCATAGAAAATTTAAAAATCAACCAGTTTGCATGCTTGAAAATCCTACACATTAAAAAAAAATTTTTGCCATGCATTAATAAACCTTTACTGACAGTTAGTGCAGCATTACAATGGATTCCCTACCATCTACCTAACCCAAGAAATTATTTTTTTCCATGTCATTTCCTTATTATTTTGTACTCTTAACACAGTTTACTGAAATTTTAACTAAAAATTTTGCTAAATTTTTAACATACCTGTATGGATGTTTCAAACATCCGTATGAGTCCCTGTATCTTCCATACAGGGTTCCATAAGACACTCCCAACAGTTCGGCGGCCACTTTCATCTCAAGGTTCTTGGTCTTAATAGCGTCCATCACCCTCTTAGTAAATGGTTCCTCCCAAAACTGCTGTCGACGACCTGTATTCAGGTAATCGTTCATTTTAATAACATCGGGCCACTCTTTCTCCAATGCAGGAGTTAAGAACGATTGTGTTCCTGACGTGGTTACATTGGTGACATTTTTTGATTTGTTATCTCTTTCGTTTTGCAGAGAGAAGGAGGTGTTACTTCGATCGTCAACAATCACGTCTTCATCGTTGGTCTAAAAATTGGAAAACGGACAATTGTAATCGATTTTTTGAAGTTGCATATTAGATATGGGGTTTATAAAGATAAGTTGAAAAATTAAATATGCTGTAGTAGCAATTTACATAGTTTCTAAGTCTGTGCAGGTTATTTCAAGTTTCTACCTATAAAATTGATCAAAAATAAATAGTTAATATGATAGTTTAACGGATTTTATCCCCAGATTGTGATCCACGAATGCGTTTTTGCGCCTGTATCCGCGCTAATGAGGATCAATTTCAACATTTTCTCTAGAAATGGTAAGTTTTATTTCATTTTGTTTCATATTTTAATGGACGCAGTTGGCAACTACAGATGTGTAACAAAATCCAGGACGCGTAGTAGTTTATTGGTTAGTTCTCGGAACGGATGGGCCAAAAAGTAAAATATTTCAGTCAACACTAATTATCGAAAGTTAAGGGCTCTCAAGTAGGTTTAGCGTCGTCCTTCGGAGAATATTTTTTTTAACAAGTTCACTTAAACTGTCGGGGCCATGTGTTGAGCAGGTATAAAGAAAAAAAATTGATATTTCTAATAACGCGCGAAATACATTCCAAAGAACGTAGGAATTCCAAAAATAAGTTGTTAGAATGTTGTGAAGAAAAGAAAGTAATAGATCAAATAGCTGGTTTTTAGACGGATTTTCCAGCTATTAAGAATATATTAAATGAGATGGGCTAATCTGTCCCGTATTGCTATGCAGAGTCGCAAGAGGAAGGTATAGGGTTGTTTGTAAGTTTAGTCTCAAAATTATTTAGACAAATGTAAATTCAGGCCATTAGACAACTATTAACATGGCATAGTTATGCCAAGGCGTCCTGATATACCCGCCAGTAAAATAAGAACAGACACTTCTGGACCCAAGAAATGGGCATGTCAATGTGAAGTGTCGAATTCAGGAGAGACCTACGAAAAAAAAAGGCAGTTCTTCCTTGGGTTTCACATTGAGCAGTCTACTTAGTTTTAGAGTCGCGGGTTAATTTAATAATCAAAGTCATTCAAAAGTCATTCCAAATTTTGCTATGGATCGAGCATTCCCTCAATCTCGGTACACTGTCGCGTGTCAATAAAGTAATTAATAATGTTTTTGGAGCCCGTTGTGTCGTTATTTTGTTTGTTTGTTTTGTTATATTGTTATTAAAACCTTTCCTGGAAAATTTTGGTGTTTTCTTGTTCTTCCAACTTAAGTGTCACCCTATACAACCAACCACTGGATTACCTTGCACATAAGCGACATACGGTAAGTGTCTGGTATTCACTCTCTGAACATACAACATTTCTAAGTTCCCACGTATTAATTAAATTGTAGTGATAATTATAAACTCCCTTTCGAGAATTAAATAGTAAACTCTTTTGAAATCCAGATTCGTTATGATACTGGTTATAACGATAATAAAGAAATAACCCATCAGGATACAGATGCTTACGGATGCGGTTCTGTTTGTGAACTCTTGCAGTAACAACAATGCATTTAAGATAGTAATTACTATTAATTAGTATAATAAGAAAATATAATTTTTTTTAAATATCTATTTGTCTTAGTTTGTACTTTTGCATTGAAAATTCCCCAAAAATTGAGAAGTATCTTTCTATCTTTTAACGACTATTTGTTTACACGGCTGGTCAACAGCACATAACTCATCGTACAGCACACAGCCAGAACCATTCCGGAGAAAATATTTTGATCCATAATTGAACTTTAATTTGCGAAAAAAAAACACAAAAATAGAAATTTTTCGTATGAGACTTTTCTATTACAAATATCGTTAGGAAGCTGTAGTTTAATTTTTATAGATTATGCATGCCACACCCTGTATTTCGTGTCTAAATATATTACATTTAATAATTTGTCAGTTATAGGGTCAATATATTTGGAAAACCTTGTATATTTGCACATATGGATGAAGCATTCTCCCATCAATACATTAACTTGAGATTTAATGACACAGATATAGATAAAACAGGACATATCACATGATCAATGACAAAAAAAATTATGTCAACATCAGGTTTTCTATTCTAATTAGAGTTCACTGTATATTAACATATATTTGAATTACCCTCCATAATTGCTCAATTATCAAAAAAAATCTAAGGCATTCACAATACTTATAGGATTTAAATATTAAACATGAAATTTTAACTCATATTGAAAAAATTACGTAAATTATGTATATTAAAAATGAATGACATCAGTAATATAAATAAATAATTCAAAATCAAAATGGTTTTGAAGTGTTTACATCTGTCTTCAATAAGATGTTTCTGTAAAAGCACTTCATTTTTTAAGATAAAAAATCTCAATCTTCAATTTTCTGTAATTCATTTCCAAAAAAATCTATTAACTCAGCCACAGATAAAAATAATTTGTTACAGTTTTACTACAACCTATGAAAAATGATCAAACTAATTAGTTACATTTTGAATATTTTTTTCATCTTTTATTAATGACTGTGTTTATGAACACGATAATTTTAGCATAACAATTATTAGTACCTACCACTTCCTTTTTCACTTTTACAGGTGGTTCCTCATTTTCAGCATTTTCTGTGGCTTCGTTTGCTGACTGTTCCTCTTCCCAAATATTTAAGTCATGTTCGCTGCTGGACATAGCATCATTGGAATAAGCGTCTTCTTGGGCTCCCCCTGTAACATTCATTATCCTGGGTGTTGTAAAAGTTTGATCGTAGTCGTCTATCGGCGGCCGACCTCTTTTCCTTTTATTTGATGGCGAATCGAATTTTGTGGTAGGACTGTCCATGACAGCCTGAACTTGAGGTATTGCAGTTTGTACTCCATTGGAATTTGAATCGCTATTTCCTGGTTGCTGTTCCTCATCCCGCCAAGAAACTTCCGCCAGACCCTTTATCCTAAGCTCCTCTGCTGTTTTTAAGAGAGTCGCAAGGTGGCACTAAAAATATATCAAGGAATTATAAGATCTGCTTTATTTGAAATCTTTTGAATTTAATGTTCAGGAAACGTGCAGTTTTTCCCAAAATGAACACATTTTTTTAAGATAAAAGTTTTCAATACCTATCAAATTGAATTCATATTCAATAATAAGGCACCCACGTTTTGTGAAGCTCTATGTATACATATGTGACAAAACTATTATTTATTTATCCATTAATAAAAATATTTCAAATTATATTTACAATTTTTCATGATAAAACAGAAATATATTATTTCAAGTACTTATTATTTTTTTTAAAATTAAATTACCAATAAAAAATTAACAGCAGACTAACAGCAATAAAAAATCCATTTGCATTAAACCTGGTAGGAACATAAGTAATCAAAGTAAACATGCAAGTAATAAACAATGTTGCAAAATTGAAATAATACTAAAAATACTTTTTTTAAGAATACACCACTGCACTAAAGCAGCATTTGGCACAAACCAGTCTTTACAATTTCTACATAAAAATAACAATGAGTTCATAAAGTTTTTTGACCTTGTAGATTATTTCAAAAATTGGGAAACATGTTCTTAGAATTATTTGAAATAATACTGCAAATAACTGCAAATGAAAAATATTTCTCAGTTCAAAAAAAAACATGATTACAAGACTGGTATTTAAAAGGAAAGACTCAATCTTTGTTTATTTTTGATGAGCAAAGCATTAGTCACTCTGTTAATCTTTCTATGATTATAAATAAACTGTTGTGTAAAAAATATTAATGCTGACAAAATATGTAAAAGAATATAATGCCTGTAGTTAACAGGCAAGTTAATGCTGTTAACTACAAGGCTCCATATTCTCTTTACATTAATAATTTCTAAGTGTGAAAATAGGCTTGAAATCCTTCAATTAGAATATGTCAAGTAGCTTGTAACCACATGTAAAAATCTCAAAATGGATGTTACTGGAACGTTATTATGTGTTACATCAACATTCCTAATTTAGTTGGCACAATAAAAATTTGTAAATAAAAATGTGTTTATTCCCAAGAAGTTTTAATTTGTCAAATAATTTGTATAAGATTGCATGTAATTAATAAGAATATTCCAGAATAACAATTACAAAATGTGTACTCTATTTTTAAAACAAGTATGTTTAAATACTAAAATAATGTAAAATGGAAATATACTTGTAAGTAGATCTGCTTCTACATTTCATAGGAAATGAAGTTATGAAATTATATCTATATCCTAAATAACCACAATTTAGCCAACTATTGTAGTAAAGGAGGAAGTTATGAAACTTGGATTATGTTGATAGTAATGCGTAGAAATATAAAAAGGCGTAAGATAAAAAGTGAAATGATATTCTTACTGAAATTAAACAAATTTTGAAATATAGAATTACATCAACTGTAAAATTTCAATGTAATAGTTCATGGAGCATACGTACAAAATTTATTTAAAACCAAAATTAATATAAAAACTGAATATACTAATGCGTATCTTTTATATAGGTACATCTGTATAGGTACATAAAAACAAATTTTGAATAGATACTCTAATTAAAATATAAAATTCATCATCATTAAAACAGTGACAAGAATTTAACAAAACAAATATAAAAACATTTTATTAAATAATAATTTATCTCGATTTTTATATTATACTTATCCACCTATTTCATTCTATTTCTACTTATTTCCCTTACCACAACAAACAATTTTTTTCATGTATAGATAAGCACTGATAAAGAGAAGTATAGTATTATTACGAGTATTATTATTTAGAATCAGTCATAGTATGTAATAAAATTATCACATTTTTTTACTTAAAACTAATCTGAAGGTAATAATGTAATATAAAAAAAAATACCAAAAATTTACTGTTAAACATTTTGGAAAATAGCACAATAAGAAAAAAATACTTATACACGTGGTATAATGTATTGTTTACATATAGGTATCATAATCGTGGAGTGGTATTTTATTATACTCTACTTGGAAGACAAAAAATAAAATTAGTGAGCGCAACAGATGTTTTCTTTTATTTTTAAGAAGTAGATAAACCTAGAGGTAAACAGTGGGGAAACACTATGTACAAAAGCAGGGAAGTTTCAAGACATTCATAATTATAAGAGAATTCAAGGGGAAAAACCATATAAATCTAAGAAAATTTGATATGAAAGAAATTTGTGCTACTACCTAACTAAATTTAATATTCTCGTGTGAATTGTAAACCTCAACAAAAATTCAGAAATGAAGTACTTAATGTAATTATTAAAAGTACCTATGAAAGGACACATTCCTTCAATTTAACAAATCTGTAAATGTTTAAATATACAAGCAAAAATGATCTGCAACATGTGTAACTTATAAATATTGATTTATTATAATTTATATCGCAATTTATAGACAGCACAACTAAACTAAAAACAAGATAAGGCATAAACAATATTTAATAATTAAAATTTTATATCTGACAAAAACAATTTAAACAAGTAAAATATGGTTCACTTTTTCAATATTTTTGTTATCAATTTTTATATATTTTCAGATAAATTATTTTCCATGTATAATAAATCCCAAGGTCAAACAAAATTTCAAACAATTTTATAAGCTACATGCTAACAGAAATCCGAATAGATCTTACATGAAAGTTAATTGAAGGTCATTTTTTAATTTCTATTTGAAACAGTTTTTTACTATTATTCTTAGCAAACACAAACAATATGGCAAAATCAAAAATAATATATTAGAAGTTTCACAAATAAATTAATATTTTAAACTGTCTTAACATACAGTATGATTCATAAATATTTTGATACATATTTACATTTTATTTCCACCATGTGCAAAATGCCAGAGTTATACAGAAACTTCACATAATATTCATACACATGTTCATATAAAAAATTGTATCGCTTGATGAATACCATTGAAATTATTTTTTATCAATTTATAAACTTTTATCTTGATTTTAAAATCATAGTATTTAGTTGATAAATTATGAATGCCAGAATTAAGTAGATCAAAATTCCAAAAAATAGTATTTTCATAACCAAGCTTTAAATTAAAAAATTATAAAACACATTATTTTCAAATTAATCTGACAACATGGTAAAAAAGGAATGGACATTACAAAGTGTTGAGTCATTTAATTCTCATATAAAATTTCATTTTCAATTTTAATCATTGAATAATTGAATAATATAAAAAGCTATGGTTTATTAGATCATTCAAATTAATCATAAGATACATTTTTTCAGTTCCTTTACTTTGTCAATATAATAACAACACCCTTCAAAAAAATAATCGGCTTTCAAACATATGCTGATGATTTTAGAATAAAATACTTATTCCAAAAATAAATATGACTAAAGTATGTATATTAATTTGAATATCCTTTATACAAAATGACTGAAACTGGAAAATTATTGATAATATTATTTAAACATATAATGAGAACTGTGATACAAAAGTATGGAAATTATAATTTGGAATATATCTTGATCGAATTTGATATTGAAGGTCATCAGCGATTGTCAGACTATCAAAAAAAAACAAGAATTTTAACAAACATATTATTTGTTTTAAATAAATTCAGTTATGCATCAACAATGAATTTACTTTCTGGATATATTACTATGCAACATTATAAATATTTACTGTACGCAACCACCTATGTAATAAAAAATAATGTTAAATACATTGTGTACTGAAAAATTTTGTACATCTTTCTGATATAGTTATAGTTACTATTCGATTAAAAATATGTTGAAATTAATAATTCCTAGATTAAAATAATGATACATTTGATATAGAAGTACAATAACCTAATGGTTGTTGACTTAAAAAATATAAACCAACATTAAAACATAATTTTAATAGTAACAATATTACCTCAAACATTTAAGTGGCAAAGAACTAAATATAACATAGCGTCACATACTTAGTAGGTATTTGCTTTCAATTCAGTGGCATAAAAATGTCAGACCTAAAAAGCAGATATACTTAGGTACCTACATAGTTCTCGATACTATTACAGATATAGAAAATGCCTTGGTTATAGCTCTGTACTGGAAGTACATAATTTTTTCTTTTATTTATTAATAAAAATTATGATGTTTTTTATTCTATTTACATTAGATACATCAGATGAGCACCAATTTCTTTCAACCAAAATTGAGTGGATTTTTTAAAATATAAGGATCATGAAAGTTACATATCTGGTGCAATTATTAGTGGAAATAACATGAATAAACAGTAAATACTACGAAAATCAGATATTCATAAAGAAAACTTAACATAGTCTGGGGTAATATTTAAAGTACTTACATGTTCTACGTTAATTTCTCCTTTGTACATAAACTCAACTAAACATTTTATATCTACGTATTTTACATCTTTCATTATTAATATGGGATCTTTTTCTTCGTACTGGGAAAGTATTGTTTCAAAATATGTACTACATGCCGATAAGACAATTTTGTGGGCTTTTATTGTTCTTCCTTCACATGCCAATGTAACATCACAAAATGCTTCTCTTTCCAAGAGCTGAGAAAACATAGTTTGCAAATTTGAATGATGGTACCTCCATCTTAAACAATACTGTTGAGGCAGCATTTTGTAAAATTTTTGTTGGTTATGTTGTAAAATGTTATAATTACACTTAATTTAATAATATATTTACAACGTAAAAAGTCGATTTTTTATTAAATATCTCCAAGTCCCCTTTTAAAGAACTTCAAAACATCAAAAATAATCAATACTTGCACTCTTTTTAATTCTTTTTAAACTCCATAGTTCGCGTTTTTAAAACACAAAAACATTACACTAACACAACACACCTACAACTCATTACTTTTTTTAATTGAACTAATTCAAAGTTCACACGACCTTTTCTCAAAATTTGAAGACGCGTATATAAATGTTCAGTCATTTGGAAAATTCCAACAAAAAATGTGTCCCTTAGTTTTTTATGAGTCAGTGAGCCAATAGAAACCACGTAAGACCCCTATAAACCATGTATAGTCTGTATATTCGCCGGGCCAAGCCTTTAAGGCAAATCAATACCCGTTCGTCTTAAAAAATGACCGTACAAAAATGCTCAACATTTTTCTAGATTTCTCTCAACTTAAAACTAACACACGGCGAACGCGAAAGATAGCTTCAACTTCAAAGAAACAACTATCTTTTTAGGCTAAACTAACGGCATCGAATACACAGTAACGCAAACTCAAAACGGGGTCAAAAATTGTACTAGCTACGCTGACTGTACCGACAGTAATTAGGCCTTTCATATTTATTTTTATAAACTTGAGATTTTTCAGAACCTGGGAAAAGAAAGAGAAAATCTATACACAGACAAGTTCAACGATCGCATTCTTTAACTAGGCATTAGAAAATTGTGACAAAACAACCGTAAATTTCCCAAGTATTATTATTTTCATAGAAATTTATACATAGTAAACATTTTAGAACATTTTTTATATAATAACATGCAAACAAGTATTTAAATTCTTAATTAAAGTATCAATCTGTCTTTATCATGGAATTTTTTGAAAAAAAACGATAGAAAGAGATAACAAAACATGCCGTAAAGAAAACATATGAATAAAAAACACTACAAATTACATGAAGTTTGTCACTAAACCTGACGTCAAATTTAAAAACCTTTAACTAAGAGCCACATTCTTTTCTCACATTTTAGCCGCATTATAGGTTATATATTTTTTTATAATTCTGCTCATAAAATGGAACACATACTAGAACGTTTAACAGCACAAAATTGATCTGGCAGCTTATGGCTTTAACTGAGATTAAAAATGTTCTTTTGGTTTATACAAATAAATTTCTAATAAATATCTGATCAACCAACTAAACAGTGGTCATTGGTCGATCACTTGGTACAATCGATCTCAGATCTCAGGCACTTAACGATTTTTGGTACATACGTATCACAGAAAAGAAATTTAACCTATCAGTTAGCTTTATTAACAATCAGGAAAAGCCTGTACACGACAAGACTCGAAACAAAGTGAGTTTGTTGTTTTTAGACAGTAGTGCACTTGAGTTAATAGAGAATAGATACATTTCTCACTATACATTGAGTGAAAAAGTTAAAATAGGCAAAAAATTATATAAAACTTTGTCCACTTAACTAATTTGATCTGATCTGATCTGATCAGAACTGATGAAAAACCTAGATATATGTATTTATACTGTCACGACGCTATTTAATTGGAGGAAGAAGAAGTGTAATAGTTTTGTGAGGTTATAAATATAAATATTGGTAATTTGTGTTTTGCGTTTCTTTTTATTGTTGTTTAATAATTTTACATCAGCATTGTACAGGTATTAGGTATTTAATTTTGTATATACCAAAAAAAATGTCGGATGAAGATGAGGTGCAGTATATTAAAAAACAAAAAACAATTCATTATGGTTCTTTGGAAGATGCCGAAAGAGCCAGATTGGAAGCACAAGCTGAAACTAGTAATGATTCAGAACCTCCACCTACTTCTACAACTCCTCAAGTTGCGGAGTCTTCTGGTTAGTATTATAGTAGAGTTATAAAATATATCGATATCTACTTAGTTATTTTTTAGAATACATGGAACTCGAGGAGGCTATGTCAAGAGATAAACAAGCACTATTAGAAGAATTTGAACGTAGACGTAAAGCTAGATCAATAAATGTATCAACAGATGATGCAGAGGTAAAAAGAAACCTGAGACAGTTAGGAGAACCTATTTGTTTATTTGGAGAAGGACCAGCTGATAGAAGATGCAGATTGAGAGATATTTTGAGTCGGTAAGATGTTTATTCTATTAGAGTAAAATAACTTTATTTAAAAGTGAAACTATATATAATTATAATGATGTGGTCAATTATTGAAACTCATGTACTAATAAAATTTATAGAATTGGAGAAGACGCAGTTATAAGACGAGAGGCAGAAGAAGAGAGGAAGCTTTTTGAAAAAGATCAAGAAACAACATGGTACCATGAAGGTCCTGAATCGTTAAGAATAGCTAGATTGTGGATAGCAGAATATTCATTACCCAGAGCAAAAGAACGATTGGAAGAGGCGAGAAGAATAATAGACATACCAGCAGCAACAAAAACAGCTAAAACCCAAGAACTTCAGAAAAAACTTCAAGCGATGTCAATATATTCCAGTCAAGTTGGTGATACAAGACCAATATCATTTTGTCAGTTTAGTCCCAACTCCAGTCTATTGGCCACTGCATCATGGTAAGTTACAAGTAGGTAATTTTTTATTTTCATTAAAATGTATATAAATAGAAAATTTTCAGGAGTGGTTTGTGCAAAGTTTGGTCAGTGCCAGATTGTGAATTAAAGCAAACACTTAAAGGACACACTTGCAATGTAGGGGCAATTATTTTTCATCCAAAAGCAACTATTAGCCAAGGAGAAAATATTTGTAACATGGCTTCATGTGCTTCAGATGGATCGGTTAAACTTTGGGATTTTAAAAGGTAGTGTTAACTCACTTTTTTTGTTATATTAATACTTAATTACCCAGTTGAACTAAATTACCTATTGTTTTATTCAAGAGGATCACCTTAATTTAGAATTATTCGGACATTTTTTAGCGAAGAACCTATTGCTGACATAGAAGGGCACATGCCTCATAGAGTGTCAAGGCTTGGATTCCACCCATCTGGAAGATTTCTTGGTACTTGCTGTTACGATAACTCGTGGAGGTTATGGGATCTTCAACAATGCACAGAAGTTCTCCATCAGGAAGGACATGTCAAACCGGTATACTGCATTTCTTTTCAAACCGACGGTTCAGTTTGTGCAACAGGGTATGTTAATTTTGATCTTTTGACCTTTTTACTAGACTTCATTTACAAAATTGGAAAATTAAATGTTTGTTAATTTTATTAATGGGGATATCCTGCTAGTCTAAAAATTAAATTTCTTTTATGTATTACACAATGTGTATCCACGAAGGGGTGGGCAATATCTTGGATTTGGGTAAGGCTTGCAAAAATAATATTACAAGTTTTTTTTTTTTTGGATCATCTGTAGTTATTAGCTCTTAAAGTTAAGAGTTGACAATGTATCTTTTGTTATAACTTTTTTGTTTTTCATTAAATTTGCTTAATTTTTGGGTAAATAAATTTATAGGTCACTTTTTAAATTTTTATCCCTGTTTTTAAAAAGTTTCATACTCTTAAGGGAAAAAAGGCGTACTTGTTTGATATCGGTATAACGAACCATTTTTACAATTAATGTATCATATTATTTTCCACGTATCTTAATAGTAATAAATAAATAAATACACAAAAGCAAATATATAATACATCTGTTTATTGAAATAGGTTGACCCTAATACACCATTACATGTATCTGACTAAGCCTAAAACACATTAACTACATTATACCCATAACTTACACACATATATATATTGTAATGATTGTGTATATGTGTATAGTCTTGTATGTTTTATGTGTTAGCGCCAAAATTAAAATTTATGTGTTTTGATATTAATTTTGTTTAGATTGGTGTATTATGTGTTGTATATCTTTGCCCTATCTAGCTTGAGACTCTATCTCTGTAGTCGGTTCCAAGTGTTAGCAAAAACCACACCAAGCACAGNACGTATATTGGACTAGGTTTACAGTACACAATATTAATTTTTAGAAAGTAGTTTCTTTAAAAATTACACAGATATTTCAAACATTTTATTTAATACTTATTTACATTACTAAATTTACATTAACTAAAATATATAATTTTTATGCAATTTTTTAAACTTATACTTGAAATATTATATAATGGTGCTTATTTATTATATGTATTATATCTGGAACTTGGTAGAAAAAGGGCCAATGTCCATTGCAGTGGACATTGGTCGTTTGTCAAACGTTTTAAAAATATTTCAAGGACCAAAGTCCATACATTGGCCCTTTTTCTATTAAACTAAGATGGACTTAGGCCATTTTAAAATTTAAATAATTAAGGTTTATAATACTTGCTGACATTGGCCCTTTTTCTAATAAGCTCCAGATATATAAAAGACAAAAAAATCTATTATTCCAACTTGCACTATAGTAATATTCTTATTGGTTTTTAAATAAAATAGTTTTTGTTAAAACTGATCTAATTCTTTCTTGTTTATCACTAAGTTGTGAAATTTCATGATGCAGTCTTAAACGAAAATATTTTTCAAAAATAAGATCGATCATGACATTAAAATGATTAGTTAAAGGTTCATCGTCAAATATGTGATTTGAAAAATATGCTACTAAATGTCTTGGCATATTTGTTGCAGCTTTAATTTTTATATATTTTAAAACAAAGTCAACTTTTTTTCCCTTTACATTAAAGAGATGTAAATAACTCCGAAAATATTTTTCTGCATGTTTACAAACTTCAATCACAAAGTGAGAAGCTTTAGTTAAGCATCCATATGTTTTTCTTATTTGCAATTTTGAAATTGTCTCATTACTTTCGATAATCTCCAAACAGGAACTGCAGTTTAGAATTTTTTTTAACTGCCTAGTTACAAAACCGGCAGCATATGCTATTACATCTTGGCAATACAATGTTAAGTTCCATGCATTTGCTTTTGTGCAATACAAATTACTGTTGTGTAACTCTTGCATCGTAGTATTAATTTCAACTTTTGGTAAGACACTTGAACAATGTAAAATAGCTGTGCTATCAAGAGCTACAGCATTAGCTTTTTCGCTTCCTGAAATCTCAGAATGTATTAACAATTTTTTCATAATGCTTTGAAACTGTTTTGAAGTTGGATTATTATTATAAACTCCTTTGCTACGGATGCAACTGAAAAATATTTCTAAGTGATCCTGAGACAACTTATATGTTAATAAGTATTTCAGCTGTTGCAGATTTTTTACCCTGTCAGTGTATAACTGTTTGAGACTTTCAATGCACACAAGGAAACCTAAAAATCCTGTTTTTTTTTGGTTTTTAATATATTTACATTCTCAATTCTTAAATTTTTTATATACTGAGAGCAATAATCCATGTATTCAAAATAATTTTTTTCTGTTGCCAAAGAGAGGGGTTTTTCAAATGGTTTTTTTGTCAATACATTCCGAGAATTAAATATATCGAATAAATTGTTAAAGTTTCTGCAAAATGTGGCTGTAGCTTCAGAATTTTTAAACAATGAAATTTTTAAATCTATATTTAAAAAATCTAGTGCCTCTGCAACACTTTTGCTAAGTGTTTGCACGGCAAGAGACACTTTCATTTTTTCCCTTATCCATGACATATGCCTTGATCTCAGTTTCGTTGCTGCATGGAGCTCCTGATTTTCTTGAAATTGGCACAACTTTTCTAGAAAATCCCAAGAAATAATATTTCCATTGCCATCTAACATTTTTTGGCTTCCAAATGAATTGCGAATTAATTTTATCATGTGACAGGGATCAAGAAATATGTATGTTTTTTCACTTGTACTTGGATGAACAAAATAAGTTTTCATGTTTCCAAGATTGGCACCTAAGGCATTTGCCATTGCAATATTTGACGGAGCTCCATCAAATGTTACTGATGTGACAATAACGGAACTCAGGTGCACAAACTCTAAGCAATTTTTTACGAGGTTAGCTTTTTCAGAACTATTCAAACCATTGGTTAAAAAATAGCCTACTGGTACCTTCCAGCTGCTATTTAAGGAGACCAGCATAAAAACTAAAACTTCCTTAGCTTCTTCCAAATCTTCATTGTCCGTATTTATACCTAAATCCACGTAACCGTATGTCTTCGTCCCATCCCATTCAATTTTTTTTCTTATTGACATTTCATCTAACACTAGGTTACACAATATTTTATTGCCTTTCTCGGAAGCATCTAAACATTTAATTTTTAAGGCTGACAAAGCCTCTTGCATGAAACCTGGGGAAGCATCAATATTTGCATACCATTTAGATAAAGTTCTGGTATGTGGTAGTACATTGCAAAATGTAGAACGAACATAATTATATGCTTTTCTTGAATAGAAGTTCAAAGTTAGAGCAAACTTTCGGAGTTCTGGAGGATATTGCTTTGTTCGCTTCCTCAGTAAGCAACTAAAAAGTTGTTTTGTAGATTCAGATATTGAATTCTAAAAAAAAAAGATAAATATTTATTTAATCATCGTTTAAGTAGTTTGAAATAACCTTAGAGGAATATACTTACTTATTCCTCTAAGGAAATAACTTACGTTTAAATTTATTTGAGCATTTTCAGATATTAAATTTCTTCTTTTTAAGTCAGCGGTTAAACTCTCCAATGTAAATATCCTGTTTTCTCTCCTTCTCTTTTGAGCTTGGAGATTATTAATTTTCTTCCTTTGCATATTTATAGTATTTTTAGCAATGCGCCAGCAAATTTTTGCCATATTGGAATCATCCAAATGTTCACTTGTTATATCTCCGAAGTGGCGAGGAATACTAATTTTACGTCTAAAATTTTATTGTTTAAATTTTTTTCCAGAAGTTAAATAATGCATACCAAAGTATTATAGATGATTAATTATCAAATTCACAAAAATAAGATTATACTCTAATTATCCGATAAGAATACTTACTTTTTCGATTTTTGAGATACGTTTTCTGGTATATTCTCCTTTTCGCCTTCTAATAAAAATAAATTATCTGGCCTATAACAAAAAAAAAAACTATTTACAAAATACTTCTTGTGAAATGATAATGACTAGGTATATTTAGAAAATTTAATAAATGAGTATTAAAAAAAATGTATCAATGTGTAAATATGATTGTTATACAACACACATGCATTGGCGTTATATTGCTATTATCTAAAGTACCACCATTTTAGTGCTAATGGCATGGCATTAAAATTGTTATATTGCACATTAATCATGTTTTATTAATTTGTTAGAAAATTCTTACACTTACACACTTACTTTCTTTTGTGACTAAAAATAAGAGATTCCGCCTGTATTGCACCAAGTACTACTCGTTTAGGTGATGGTGATGACATTAAACTGGAAAAATATTCACATAGGTTACTTTTTAGCTTTCAGTAAATGGAGTATTGAGTATTACCTTTGATTTTCAAATTCTGAGGCTGTTAAGGTCCCTGAACTTGTTGAGGAACTTGCACTATTTGGGCTATTATGTCTATTAGAACAATTCCCAATAGCAGTAAACCTAGAAATACAAAGATGTATCAACATATTAGAAAAACTTTAACAATAATTTCGTAAAGAATGAATCCTAATTAAAATATGTGTAACACTTATATATTGTTTTATGGACAACACATTTGTCTCGTATATCAGTAAAGAATTACAATAAAAATATTATCCAATCTTACCTTTGATCGTCAGCTTCTGATACTGTTAATGTTCTCGAACTTGGTGAAGAATTTGCGGTGTCTGTGGAACTACAATCACCAGGATCATTTGTAGCATTGAGATCCCTAAAAGTATTTCAACATGTCATTTTTTACAGTAAATTATTCATTATATACAAATTTCTTGTGTTATGTTGTGGAATACTTTTTTTAGTTAAAATTATGGAAACTTTTTTTTTATTATGTATGCTTACATATATACGAAACTTGTTACTAAAATTGCAGGTACTAAATTATATATAGTTATATTTCCTTGATCAACTAATAACATACATTAATTTAAAATTCTATGAATAAGAGTCATCAATTTACAAAAACTGTATGTACTGATAAGTTAATCAGAAAATATCACAAGCTTAGAAGACATATTCTTACTTTGTCATATCCAATGGCTTAGGAACACTATGCTTTAAAATATTTATTCTATGACTTCCAATGATGAATTCATCTGCGGAAAAGTGTTTC